GTCTGAATGATTCGCGCAAGCGGTGAAACTTGAGTAATCAGCTTAATAAGTGAGTCTTGTTTTATTTATCTACAAGACTACAATGTATATATTATATATATATATATATATATATATATGTATATATCGGCTAATATGTTACTAATCTACTATCAGGTATAATGCCCTGGCAACAGAGAATGTTGTAGTTCACTTCATGGTGCTTTGTGCTGTAACAATTTAATAACATGGCACGGCACACGTAATACTATTATTAATAATAAGAACCCTTTTGTAACTATACAAGATCGCGCAACAAATTTCTAGAGCAAACTGTAGTGAGGCTATCTGACGTCTGTAGTCCGAGGGTTCACGGTACAGTGACGCCGAGTATGCTAGGGGGGTTCGGGGCAATGCCCTCTGGGAAAAATTTTGATTCCGAGATGCAATTTCCTGTCATTCTGGGACCAAAATGACAGATAAGTTCACACTGATATTTGCTGCTTAAATACTGTAGTTATTTTCAATGCATGTTATATCAATGTAACATCCGAAACAAAAACACTTGAAATATCAATAAAAAGATTTTTTTTCGAAATCGTAATAATAATCGTAGTTTGTATGCAAACTGGTGCGTAGTGGTCAAAATGCAAACGAAATCGCTATAACAATACGAGATAAGATCGTAGTGGTTTGGCATCTCTGAATTTATAGCATCATGCAATTCATTACGCCAACATATGTGTTAATACGCAAAATTTATATGTTACTAATCTAGCTATAGGTAATGCCCTGGCAACACAGAATGTTGTAGCGCACTAAATGGTGCGCATGGTCCTGAGTAACAATTTATCAAACATGCCACGGACCCGTAATACTATAATTAAAAATGAGAACTCTTGTAACTAGTTCATCGGCAATCATACGGCAACGTTGGCCAACGTCATCAGCCAAACCACATTGCGCAAACCATGACCATTGCCAACTCATACACCAACTGTTGGCCACAACGTCATGCAGCACCCACTTGCCAACGCATGACCATGCAACCATACACCAAGTTTGGCCCACGTCATGCAGCCAACCATTTGCCAACGGTGACCATGCAACCATACGCCAACGTGCCCAACGTCATGGCAGGCCAACCACTTGCCAACTATGAACGATGCCAAACGCATAAACCAACGTTGCCAACGTCATGCAGACCAACCATTTTGCCAAACGTGACCATGCCACCCATTCGCCAACGTTGTCCAGAACGTCATCAGCCAACCATTTGCCCAAACCGGACGCCATGCCGACCATACGGCAACGTTGGCGCCAACGTCATGCAGGCCAACCATTTGCAACCGTGACCATGCCGACCAACGGCAACGTTGGCCCAACGTCATGCAGCGCAAACCATTTGGCCAACCGTGACCATGCCGACCATATGCCAACGTTGGGCCCAAACGCCATCAGGCCAACGGAACTTGCACAACACCGTACCAATGCCAACATACACCACGTTGGTCCAGACGTACAATACAGCCCAACCAGTGCCAACTAGGCATCAAATGCAACCTCATATGTCCAACGTTGGCCGAAACGTCATGGCAGCCAAGCCATTTCAACGTAGCATCATGGCAACCATACGCCAAACGTTGGGCCAACGTTATGTAGCCAACGCACTGCCGCAACTAGCATTGGTGGGCCAACGCATTACGCAAACGTTGGCCCAACCGTTCATGCAGCCAACCATTTCCAACTAGCATCATGCCAACGATACGCCGCACGTGGCGCCAACGGGCATGCAGCCAAACCACCTGCCAACCGTGACGCAATCCAACCATGACGCCAAAACGTTGGCCCAACGTCATATTGCGCAACCAACCAACCATGACCTTGCAAACGTTGGCCTCAACGTTGGCCCAACGTCCATATTGCCAACCGTTGACGTGCCAACCACATGCCCACGTTGGCCCAACGTAAGCATCTATCCTCGGTTGGCTTCTTTATAAGCTACATAATTTGGAACATTTGTCACATCAAGGTGGCTGACATATTGCCAGTTCAAGACTGGTATTCGTGTGTTTATCACTGCTGGTGACATTCGTGATTGGGATGGTCCGGAACATACGGTACAGTGGAACATTGGTGAGCCATCTCTATTGACAGTGCAGACACTATTGAATACCCCCGTCACTAATGTCTAGAAGAAGGCAGGCAAACAGCCACCTGACTCCCAACGCGTTTGTGCGGGGGATTTGGCCAACGAAAACGACTGCTAGCAATACGCTGATCCAGATTCCAACTAATACGGCTAAGATGTGGCGCAAGGTAGCTGGCTGATCTGCAAATCTACGTGTGTCAGATATTCAAGAGTCAATCGATTTAGTTTCTAAACAGGGGAGTACTTCATACTGGACGTTCCGTTTATGCAAATGCTTGGGTTGAAGCAGATTTTCGAGGCATGCTAATGGAATGTAGATTCACAATCGCGAACACATTTCATTTTGAAACACTACATAACAATTGGCCATTGTCAAATACGCTAGTAAGTATTTCCGAGCCATTGACACTGGAATACAGATTTTGATTGAGACTGGTCATTTACAGAAGTGGATGAGTCATCAGTCACCGGCTTTTGATAAATGTTCCAAGGCAGAAGAAAATGTGGAATCTGCGTCGCTGTCCCTTCAACACCTCGCCAGAATATTTAATCTACTCGTCTATGGTTGTGCTATTGCAACTGCAGTTCTGATAGGTGAGAAATTTAGTACGATTTTGCGTGAAAATATTACACGTCATCGATTGAATGTAGATTTATGTTAGATGTTAAGAATTCATGTTAAATGTTCACAGCTATATGTTAATTTCTATATAATGGTATAAACGCTGTTGCTCTGTATTGTACGTGTGTGTGTTACATAACACTGTCAGAGGCAGAACCGATGACATATTTTATATGCAATTAATTTTTAAATTTTATTCAAAGTTTTAATCGTAGTTGTACTTTAAATTTTTAAATTTTACTTTGGTTTATTAATTTGCATCGCACAAGTGTTCAGGCATTACTTGGAACTGTTCACGAGGAAAGGGCAGTTAAGTTTTACTACAATTAATTATTTTAATTTACATATCTTATGAGTTATATTATAATTTTATGTATCGTAACAGTCTGTATATTGTTAGATCCGGTTTTATGCTGTTCGGTTGCATATATGTATGATCTGTGTTGATGATCTAATTTTAGACAGGAATAGCTGCTTGTTCAGCTGAGGCAAAATTCTGTTGTGATAATAACCCAGTAAGCCAGCATCTTCATAAAAGTGTAGGTATGTAGCGAGGATAATTACACCAATATACTGAATTATAATTACATAGGATATATTTGAATTCTAATGTACAAGCAATAAAGTATATATTAAGATGTAGTGTTTAGCTATCCATNGGTTGTACTTTAAATTTTTAAATTTTACTTTGGTTTGTTAATTTGCATCGCACAAGTGTTCAGGCACTACTTGGAACTGTTCACGGGGAAAGGGCGGTTAAGTTTTACTATAATTAATTATTTAAATTTACATATATTATGAGTTATATTATAATTTTATGTATCGTAACAGTCTGTGTATTGTTAGATCGGGTTTTATGCTGTTCGGTTGCATATATGTATGATCTGTGTTGATGATCTAATTATAGACAGAAATAGCTGCATGTTCAGCTGAGGCAAAATTCTGTTGTGATAATAACCCAGTAAGCCAGAATCTTAATAAAAGTGTAGGTATGTAGCGAGGATAATTACACCAATATACTGAATTATAATTACATAGGATATATTTGAATTCGAATGTACACTTTAACCACTTTATACCGATGTGGTGTTTTGCTATCCATGTCCAGCATGTGGTGAATATTTAAATAAAGTTAACACGTTTACACAGATACGTGCATAGAGTTCGGGAATGTCCATAGATATATCTACAGCTGTAGAACATTGTAGATGGTTTCAGTATGGTATATCTTAAAGAATTAAACAAGAGTTAGGGAGTAGAAAACGAGCCTGTGACAAAGTTGGCGTTGTACGCTCAGTCGAATAGATTGGAACTTATTCTGTTTGGAATAAATGTGGCTTCATAAACATCAAGCACTCTGTATCTCTCCATGCTAAATGTTAGCTCAAATATGATAGTATATGTGAAACCTTCATCTATGAGGGAAATTAAAGAAAAAAAATTATATCTGAAAATCTATTCTGAACTTCAGAGCATTCAAGTTCTATTTTAGATTGATATTCAGCACTTACGTCAGTAAATATAGAACACGGAACTATATAGACACATATAGAACCTGGCCAACCAATCAGCATGTCAAACAGCATCTCTGATATTTGCAAGCTTTATCTCAACACAATACGGCTCTTTATGCAGGAAGCGGTCAGGGCATTTAGTCAATATTGTAGTTCACTATTATAACAAAATAAAAGGATGGCATTGATTGGACTGCCGGTAATGGAAGCTGACCGGCTCACCATTGTGTTGCCATGATGTATTCATGCATAGTACCTGTGTATAACCTGGCGAACGTGCCAGTATGCCTAAAGCAGCAGAGATAACACCACATCCACAAAAACGAGTTGAGTCAGCGCATCAGTGATTGTAGCTCCATAATAATGTATTTCCGTTTAGGACTAGTGACGCAAGGGCGGCGGAACGTATTTAATTTGGGGGGGGCAAAGCCAAAAAAGGGTAACATAATTTACATGATTAACATAAGAAGTCAACATAATTCATAAAAAAGAAATAAATTAATAATTATAATAATTATTATAATAATTTTGAGGGGGGCACTTGCCCCCCTTCCGGTTCCGCCGCCCTTGTAGTGACGTGCTTGTCTGCAGTTATTATAACACTATCACTGCAATCATCTGCATCATCACACAAAACTTGTGGCAGCGAGCAGAGAAAGAGTGTTTGTGATCCAGTGAAAGATCAAGTCAATTAAGTACGATGTGAGAGCAGGAAAGCCAGCTTACTAGAGTAGTGGAATAACATTACATAGTCCCTCACGTGACTACACAAGTTTAGATCTTCAAGGAGCACACCTGAAAGTTGGGCAATGGATATGTGATAAAAGAGATGAGAATGTCGCGCTATACTCTACCATGAATTTCAAAACACTAGCAAAGTACATGAACTTCACATACTCTACTAAGACCTTTTGTTCAAGAGGATTCGATCATATTGCAACTGCTATCTCTGATGGAAGCATTGATCTCGGTGGTGTTGCGCTGTGTAAGAGGATCAATGAAAGTCAATTTATAACGTTCTGTAAGTTTTATACATAGAAATACCATTCAATAACGTATTCCATTTCAAATCCGGCGCCCAATTTGTAAAGAAACACATGAATATAATCTTGTCATGTGACGTCACAGCCCCCGTTGAAAACACGCCATTATATAGCGTAAACAGTGCTAACGACGCTAGTAAAAAAAAAAAAAAAAGAAAAAAAAAAAAAAAAAAAAAAAAAAAAAAAAAAAAAAAAAAAAAAAAAAAACAAAAAAAAAAAAAAAAAAAAAACAAAAATTGTTTATGCTAGGTGACAAGTATTGTTACAGCATACAACGAAAACATGGGTAAGCGCTGTAAAATGTACTTATATTCATGTACATAGCATATTACCTGTGTGATAATCATTCAACGGTAATAGTGACATGACTGGCGTAGATCGAGATGTTGTGTACATGTACGATACATAATGGTGCATTCTGACCGAGCGTGATAGGCCCGAGGTGATCGCTGTGCTCGATGCCTGCACTTGTCTAGCGTCGAACTGGTCTACTAATAACCCTGATCTTCTCATTCTCATGGCAGTATATACATCTCAGGGTGCCGGTAATCATCTAATTCACAAACACTCACAGACACGCCGTATTTGTCTACAGTCCTATTAGCGGTGACCGAGGCTTCCATCCGCCATTGTTGTGATCTGTTCTTGATTTGGAAGTTTTGTGCTGACTCCTTCGCGTTGGCTTTTTCAGACGATTTTTCCTCATATTTTTTGCTGTATATTCAGGCTCAACCTATATCCAATGCGTAATCACTACAAAATTCATCTCATCTGAGGTAACATGAGATAGATTCATTGATTATCGCTTTCTGTCTCCAGCTATACACCACACGCACTATGTTTACATAATGTCGCCGTGTTCACAGGGGGCTGTGTACGTCGAGCATGGACCTAGACTAATATCCATGTGTTTCTTACTGCGGATTTGAACTGCGGGCACCGGATTTGAAATGGAATACGTTATTGAATGTATTTATATGTATCAAAACGTTACAGAAGTTATAAAATTTGACTTCAATTGTCCTATAACATCGCATCGACGAGAAATAGTATTTTTTGAGGACACTTTTCACGGATAGCTTTGTGATTATAATAAAAACTCCAGAAACATCTACAACAGCAACATCCAATGTTTTATCTCCATTTGATTCAGTGACATGGCTTGCAATCTCTGGATATGGATTAATTAGTGTTACTTTACTTTGCTATATGAATCACCAAGCACATCGGAATGAAAGCAGGAGAAGAGAACGTGGTTCAAGAAACTTGGCTTCTTTTATAACTACATATTTGGAACATTTGTCAATCAAGGTGGCACATATTCCAGTTCAAGCAGTGGTATTCGTGTGTTTAACAGCTGCTGGTGGACATTCGTGATTGTGATGGTCGGAACATACAGTGGAACATTGGTAAGCCATCTCTCAGTGCAGACAACTATTGAATACCCATTCACAAGTCTAGAAGAGGCAGCAAACAGCCACCTGACTCCCACCGTTGTGCGGGGATTTAGCCACGAAAACCTGCTACAATACGCTGATCCAGATTCCAACTACGGCAAGATGTGGCGCAAGGTACTGGCTGATCCTCAATCACGTGTGTCAGATATTCAAGAGTCAATCGATTTAGTTCTAACAGGGGAGTACTTCATACTGGACCTTTCCGTTTATGCAAATGCTTGGGTTGAAGCAGATATTCAAGAGTTAGTCGATTTAGTTCTAACAGGGGAGTACTTCATACTGGACCTTTCCGTTTATGCAAATGCTTGGGTTGAAGCAGATATTCGAGCATCTAATAAATGTAGATTCACAATCGCACCATTTCATTTTGAAACACTACATAACACTTGGGCCATGTCAAATACTAGTAAGTATTTCCGAGCCATTGACACTGGAATACAGATTTTGATTGAGACTGGTCATTTACAGAAGTGGATGAGTCATCAGTCTACGGCTTTTGATAAATGTTCCAAGGCAGAAGTAAATGTGGAATCCGCGTCTCTCTCCCTTCAACATCTCTCGAGCATATTTAAGCTACTTATCTATGGTTGTGCTATTGCAACTGCAATTCTGATAGGTGAGAAATCAGGAGCTACAAATCACTGATGCCGCTGACTCAACTCGTTTACGGGAGAAGTGATGTGGTGTATTTCCTCTGCTGCTTTAGCATACGGCAACAGTTCGTATCCAGGTTATAACACAGGTATATGGCATGAATACAATCATGGCCAACACACATGTCAGCAGTAAGCTTGCCATCTACCGAGTCCGATCAACGCAAACTTCTTTCTTATAATATAGGAACACAATTTGATAAATGCCCTGACCGCTATCCTGCGTAAAGACCGTATTGTGTTACGATAACAAGCCTTGCAAAATATCAAGAGAATGCTGTGTTGACGAATCTGATTGCATATTGATCAGGTTCTATATGTGTCTGTAGTTCCGTGTTCTATATTTCCTCACGTAAGTGCTGAATATCAATCTAAAAAGGAACTTGAATGCGTTGAAGTTCAGATAAGTTCCAATCTATTCGACAGAGCATACAACGCCAACTTTGTCACAGGCTCATACATATCATACAGATCATACATATATGCAACCGAACAGCATAAAACCCGATCTAACAATACACAGACTGTACGATACATAAAATTAATAATATAACGTCATATAAATAGTTAACTTTAATACTTAATTATAGAAAACTTAACCGCCGCTTTCCCCGTGGAACAGTCCGAAGTAGTCGGCCGACACTGTGCGATCAAAATTACAAAACCAAAGTAAAATTTAAAAATTTAAAGTACAACCGCGATTAAAACTTGAATAAAATTTAAAAATTAAATTGCATATCAAAATAGACATCGGTTCTGCCTATGACAAGTGTTATGTAACACACACATGTACAGTAAAAAGAAAAAAAAAAATATACAGAGCAACAGCGTTTATGACATTATCATAGGAAATTAACATATAGCTGGTGAAACATATTAACCATTTATGTCTACATCTAACATAAATCGCAACATCAAAGTCGAGACGGTAACTTTGTTGCCGGCAAAAATCTACTAAAA